TCCTGCTGGGCCCTGCCTAGTTGTCTCCCCTTAGCATCTTATTCTGCCTCTGCCACTGACCTCCTGGGTGGTCTTGGGCACATCCCTTCACCTCTTTGCTCTTTTGCCGGCTCGTCCGTTGATATCAAGCTTGGCAGGGCAGTGAGCATTTCGCACCCCCTGTACACGTGGCATGATGGGCCCAGCTTGGCCCCACACTCCATCCGCCACCCCAGCAGGTTTGCTTTCCACGAGAGGTTACAAGGCAAGTTGAGCAAAACGGGAGCCCTGAGAAGCAACACTCGCCAGGGACAGGCGAGTAAGGATGCTGCTTCTCCTTTAATGATACAAATGGCCCCAGACAGCGTAAACCCTGAGGGGCAGCCAGCACACTGCAGCCACAGGCAAGGTGCAGGGAGAAGCCCAGTGCAAGCTGTGGACCTTCTCCGCTCTTCTCTTCCAAGCAATGCGGCTGGAGGAAGACTGGTCCATGTCCTGGCTGCTGTTCATGTCCTACCTAAAAAGGCAATTCTGCTTGAAAGGCCAAGTGACAATGTCACAGAAGACAAGGGACCCTCATCCTTGGAGATGGTCTTACATGAACATTTGCAGGGTCAGGCTTGGGGAAACCCTGTAACAACAGTTCAACAGAAGCAACATCCATCAACAGTTAAACCTATATCTCCTCCAAGTGATTTCACACCAAGGACACCCCATCTTTGAGCCAGACCTGCCTACAAAAGTCTTTGACTTATTTCTGCAAGAGATGTCCAGGGAGGGCCCCCCCACCCCGGGAGGAGGCAAGGAGAGTAAGGGGAAGGCCCTGCTCCTCAGATGGGCGATGCTACCAGCACTTTGGGCCCATTTGCTGGAGCCTCACTCAGCCTCTCTGCACAGGTCAGGCAGCAGAGCTACTTTCCATCCACTTGTGCTTTCTTTCCATTTGCATCCCTCGATTTTTAAGTTCCTGGGACAAGGTAGGCAGGACTATGCATGGCACCTACACAGAAAACACTGTTAAGTCTTCGTATCAAACCTCAAGCAGCTTCAAGGCTAGAAAAGGTCTTTTGGAAGAGCAATCAGTTGTTAAGTTGCTCTTAATAAGGCACGAGTGCAAGAGGAGGCATTTCTTTGCTAAGCTTCACCCAGCGTCCTGAACGCCGAGGCTTTCCCAGCTGGTGACACAGCTAGGTTATCCACCTTCAAAGCAACCAGCCGAGGAGGATACGCACCACGATGGAGAGAGCGGGGCCCAGACCTGCAAATGGGCAACGGCAGCGTCACAGACAGTCCTCTGTTGATGCCTGCTGCGGGGCAAGAGCAACAGCAATAGGAGTAGCGCTCCTGGGGCAGAGGAGAACTCAACTTTATCAGCAGCCAGGGCAAAGCTGCTCCTCCCCTGACCTTTCCTAATCCTCCCCCCAGTTAGACTCTAACCAGAGCTTAATGCTTCAGTGCATGCCCAGATTCTATGGCTTTACCGTGACTGAGTGAAATCAAAGACAAGCAAATAAAAGCCTGTGCAAAGCACCAGTGGGTTCAATGAATTTTCATTGCCTGCCCTGAGGATACAGAATATTTCCTGAACGCTGAACCCACAAAGTTCAAACAGTGATGCCACTGAGGACTATTAAACACAGTTTAAATGTTCATCTTCCCCTGGAAAACACGTAGCAGAGAATAAGGGAGTAGGGTAGCTGGGAAAGACATTGCCCTTCAGCCACCAGGCAAATCCCAAATGCTGCCTGGGGCTGCACTAACGTCTTCCTGGGGGACACAGCACAGCTAGGAGGAGAGGAGTCCTGTCCCAGCAATGGATCCAGCTGCCCACTATCAACTCTGATCTGACACGGATGGGGATTGGAGAAGTTTACTGCAGGTCTCCAACCAACCCAATGCATCAGGCTACTCTGCTGCACTCATGCGATGGGGGTCTGCAGAAAAACTCCTGCAAAGCAGTAACAGCTAGGCATGTAAACCGGGGTCCTTGGCGCACAACATGCATCAGCTCCTATAATCGAACTGGGCACCCATTTCCGGCTGACAGAGTCCAGCCATTTCTGCCCAGAAGCCTCTGGCACTAAGCTTCCCTCCACAAAAAGAGCAGTCCCATCTTAGCAAGAGGCAAACCACATCTCAGGCCCTTCCTGCTGTTGCTTTCCACCACTAGATGCCTGCACACTCCCCGTGTCTTGACCCTCAGGTACCAGACAGGTAAGCCATCATTTCTCCATTGAAACAGTTCAGAAAAATAAATAAATAAATAAATAAATAAAATCTCAAGCACAGCCAGACAGAGTCACAAAAACAGCCAGGGCAGGCAATACCCTGCATGCTGCCTCCGCTCTAGAAATCTTACACACCCACAGGAAGATATAAATAACTATAAATTTATTAGTAAAGCAAAACCATTTGACATTCACACAGAAGAGCGGGATGTGTTAATACAATATATATATACACACATACATGGAATATCGTCTTAGAAACACACGGAGAGCAGTGTTAAAGGCACTGCAAGCCACACAAACCTCATCATCCTTGGCTACAACTTCCCATAGCCCTGGGATCTTGGCCAGAGCCACCACCACAAGTTATGAGGAGCCCTTGAGAACCTCACTGGGGCTTTAGTAAGGTCTCCATCTCAACAAGACTCCCCAGCAATGAAGAACTGTTCCTGAAATCACAGATCCACCACTCAGCGCCACTGAGAGACAAGCCCACAGCACCTCAGGGTACACCTCCAACCTGAGGTCCTGCTCTCTCATCGAGTGCCCCAGGGACGCTGTGAGAGCGGCTTCTTCACGTCCAGAAAGCACTCAGAGACGGCTGCCGAAGAAATGCTGCAGAAGGAGCACAGTGCCTCACAGCTCGGAAGAGAAACTGTGCTTGCCAAAGCCCCGAGGTAGAGCCGTAGTCCCCCAAATCTTGCTTGCCTGTCATTATTGCATCTCAGCATTATGTATGTGTGTGCAGGAACCTTCCTGCAGGGTAACTCACCACCCAACAGAGAGTCAAACTCTGAAGAACAATGACTTACAGGTTTTTTGCTTCGCTAGTTAACACCTGGGCTCTAGTTGCAGCCCGGACTTAATGGTAAATACTCAAAGAAAGTGCTCTCCTCCCTCCTAACAGTGCAAGGCCAGACTTGAGTACCAGGAGACAGTCCCAAACCATTGTCAGAGGATGCTTTCCCCCTCACCCTCCACTCCAACACATGCCCCAAGATGAGAGCGTGTGCATCTTTCCACCCTGATTGCAGGGTTGCATTTGCTCTCCAGAGTGCTCCTGGGGCATTGTGGGCATACCTGCAATCCCAGGGGTTTTCACACCACGGGGAAACCAGTTTCACACCGGGTTTCACCAGTTTAGCCATCGGCATGATCTGCCGAGCAGCTCAGCAGACATTCCCAGGGGGACCAAACAGTCAAACTGCAGCCCAGGCAGCTCCGTGACTTCTCCCCAGGGACACGTGACAGCCCTATACTGACTTAATCCCCAGTCTTGGGGACGTTGCAATGGACATGGCAACTCTAGCCCTGGTGCCTGTTTCATACAGCTCTGCTCTGGCTCCTACCCCAAGGCAATGGGATACTTGCTCAGGCTAACTTGCCAGGACTAGCTGTACTACAGACACAACCCAATAAAGCTAAGGCTGCCAGGCCACAGGGGCATTCCTAGCATCGCACAAGCCCAACGAGATGGGGGGCCTCATGGGGGGATGAGCCCAAAACATCCACTGGATTCCAGTGAGATTCACAGTCCCAAACCCCCAACTTCATTATCAGCGGTTCCCGTATCACCTGGAACCAGCCTCAGCCTGAGAGAGGAATTTGAGGGGAAGGAGAGGGAGAAGAGATCTCGCAGAGAGAATCAATCAAAATGGAAAAGGGATGAAAACAAAGCACTGCTTACAAAGAAGAATCCAACAAAGGGCAAAGACGCCTAGAAGGTCTTATAAAACTATAATCAAAATAACTGTGGAGGAGAAGGAGTTGAGACACAGATAAAGGCATCCTGTACGTAGGGTAAGGGGAAGAGAAGGTTGGTGAAAATCCCCAGGTAAAAGAGACTACCTTCTTCCTGGGAACAAGCAGAGAGCAGTCAGAGAGAAGGATGTGTCTCCTGGACAGCCTCCAAACAGCCTTTGGCCAACCTAACCCACTCCCCTCTTGCTTTCTTAAAGGTGCCTTATGTTTGAACTGCCTGCTTCCCACATGGGAAAGCCCAAAGAAGAGAAGAGCCCATCAGAAAGGACTATTCCCTACTCCAGCCCTAGGGAGCATCCCCAAACAGCTTGGCAACCAGGTCTTGAAGACACCCAAGGGGCACAGAGTCCTTCAGAGCTTGCTAAGGGCTGATACAATACCAGCTCCAACATAGTGACTCCGTTAAGTACTACAGGTCGATGAGTAACACGTGAGGCCAAGTAGAGGCAGCGTAAAGAAGCCTGCAAGTCTCTTGAAATAAACATTAGAAGGGAAGTGCAACACAGGTAAAAAGTAGAAACACGTTTTACTCCAAAGAGGCTTTGGCCACAACTGCTCTTTGGTTTGAAAAGAAATACGAACAGTTAACAGGGAGCCCTTTGCAGCGTGACACCCAGGGGACATCTGTCACCCCAAGCCTCCCCATCCAGAGCTGCTCTCCTGACACTCGCATGCCTCGTGCTATTTTCATCACTTCTCACCCCACAGTAAAAAACAAACGTGTTCCAAAGGCACAGCAACGGAGACCAACCTGCTCCCCCAGCCCAACCATATGACACGGGGCTGCTTGCAACTAAACAATCTCCTTATAAAAATATAATCAAGGCTATCAGCAGCCATTCAATAATGCCTGCTCTGCACAGGCCTGGTTCACAACCCGCCAGCAAAAGACGCAGGAACATTCACCTGCTAACACTGAGATCTAATGGCCAAAACCACCCCTGTTCCACCACAGAGACTTTCACTGGATTCAGGCTGTTGTAGGGCAGCAAAAAAGACGAGGAGACCAAGTCACCGTGGGCCCGCAGCCAGTCCTACTCAAAGTTGATTTCACATGGCATGAAGATATTTTCAAATCTCAAGGCTTAAAAATAAATGAAGGAGATATATAGGAAGCACCTAGATAAAGGTGACCAGGTTTTCCGATGAGATAGCAGGAGAGGGCCAGCCACACCAAGCCTAACATGGTCTGTGAGTGCTCAGTGCCTCTACACCACCTGGTTTTTACCTAGGCGCCTACTCACAGGCACTGGGTTTGAAGACGTGGATCTGTAGACTTGTCCCCTTGGAGCTCTCTACAGCATCTCCTCTTGCTGGAGTGCAGCCCCTCACATGCACAGACCTGATCACATTCTCCGCTTGGCGTACTGCACGGTTTCTGCGTGCTGAACAGAAAGCCAGGGCTCCTTTTCTTTCCTCTAAGGCCTTTCCACGCTGCTCTGCAGCAGCTGAGCACAAAGGAAATGTTCCCGGACGATCACCTGTTCCCAGCAAGTGCTGATTCAAAGGGGACAGGGCTGGGCAGCGCTGTAGCCGAAGCAAAGCACGTCCCAGAGCTGCGTCTGGGACCCACCACTATCCTCAGATCGCAGGACAGAGGCCAGAGCAGCCCCGTTTCCTCCTCTGCGCTGAACACTAGGATGCAGAAATCGGAAGGTAAGAATCCTTCTTTGCAATGACTTGGCCAAGCCATCGAGGCAGAGAGAAAATGCAGAATCGCTCAGGTCTCCGGGGACAGGAGAGAGTAGAGTACAGCCATTTGGTGTCCGCATTATCGATTTTCCCAAATCTCTCCTCTAGCCAGCAGCTGACTCAGAAAGCACGGCCACAAAGCCACTCTGGCCAGCAGGCTCCGTTTCACATTCTCCTACTACAAAGGTGAGCCTCCCCTCTGCCTCCTGTATGGAACCATACAGCCAGCCAGAAAGAGCTGCCAGCACGGTGCTCAAGCAGTCAGGTTACCCGCTGAACACCTTGCTCCACAGGACCCATCTCCAGCCAAGCACAACAGTTGTGCCAGGCTGCTTTGGGCAAGAGCAGTGAGTTAACCACAGCTTGAGGAAGCGCTGACGCCAGACGGGAACAGAACAAGGGTTCACGTGGGTGCTGCATTTCTAAACTGACTGTGAAACCATGGAGATGACAGATCGTGTGCTCACAGCTAATGAGTGGACACCTAAGCAAACAAATCCAGCTGGGAAGGCAGGAGGAAGGGCCCGTTTCTCAAGGAAGGTAGTACTGCTCCTGGCAAGATAAGGGACGGCCTATCTCCCCACTTGAGAAGGGCTAGATCACTGGAAGTACATAGGTATATCTGCCTCCACAGCCGCTCTCTTTATCTCAAGGGTGTGGTATTTACTACACAATAGCCTGTTGTTTGCCATTTGACCACTTTCAGGAGTCTAAAGCATAACACTCAGTCGATACACCCACACCTACCAGGCACTGCTTCCACCACCAGCATGAGTCCAGAGAATACTCAGAGAGAGATCTTCACCGTCACTTAATTTGAAAGAGGCATTTGCTAACTCATGAGCCAATTCAGAAGTGCTAGTTATTCCCAGCAAGTGTCCAAGGACCAAGCACAGACCAGAAGACTGAAGGGCTTTAGAGACAAAGAGAGGCCAGCTGCACAATAAGGTGACTGCACTTTGAAAATACGGGCTTTAGTTCCCCAGCTCTGAACCTAACCTTCAACCAGGGAGGCCTCCAGCACCATCAAGCCCAGCCCTTCTGTCAATACAAGGTTAGCTTTCCTTGTTTTCGATTCATTTTTACTCCTATAGTTAAGCATACACTGAACTCACTATATATTAAACATCAAAAAACAGCTACCTAGAACTGGAGAGGTCTTTAAAAATCCAGGTTGTCACATCTTTTTTTTTTTTTTTTTAAAAAAAAAAAAGATCCAGTATGACATCAAGTTAAACTATACAGGATTTTTAAAAATGAATATTAACAAACTGCTTTAGAAAAAGCAAAAAATGTGGAAAAAGAAACACAGACAGAAAACTTGGTAGGAAGCTTTACATCTCTGAGGCTACGTGAAGTAAGATGAGCATTGGTCCCTCCTCCTTGGGCAGCAAAGAGCAAGGTTTATTTTAAACTCCTTAAAGCTGCACATGAAGAAGACTCAGCCCTGAGGTCAGACCTGTCACTGAACTGTCCCAGCCCCCTGTGAAAATGCCCTCTGTTCCTCCTGACAGTGCTGGAAATGGAGACAAAAAGCCTTTCTCAATCTTTCAGATTAGTGCCCGCTACAAGCAAAGCAGGCACAGCCCAAATTTCTGCAAGGTTAATCTCTCTATATTTGCTGGGGAGAACATTTATTAAACTTGTCCTCATCACCTGGGCAGCACATGGGCAATTTATTGGCTACTGCTCAGAAAACAGTGAGCCGGAACAGTCCTAACTCAAATAAGGGCTAGCCAAGATGGAGAAGGGAAGGCTGGTGGGCAACCTAGTAAGCGCTCCTTCAACCTTAAAGGCATCTAACATTGGTCATGAGATTGGTCATGAGAAGTGAGCAAAATCTTGAAGAGGAAAACACCTGAGGCTGCATCAATCTTGCTAAGGGGAAATTTATTTTTAAGTGATGTTTACAGGAACTGTGCAAAACCTGAAAAATATAAAGGAGATAAAGAAAGAATAGAGGGGTAAAAAGGGACTCCCATAAGAGGGGGAAAAATACGCTCCTCCTTTACCTCCTGCTAACCTTCCACTTCCCATGGAGCTGACCCCACAGGCCAGGAAGGATTCTTCCCTGATCACTCTGGACAGAACTATTTTGCTCCCAACAAGTCAGACATCAAGCCCCAGGCGCACAGCGTGGGTTACAGCTGAAGATGGCCAAGCTCATTTCTGAAGTCCTAGGTTATTAGTAGTGTTTGCCTCACCTGTTAGTGTTCAGCTGCTAGCATGTCCCTTTGCTTGACCTCTCCTCCCGCCTTGGAGGTATGCTAATGGCCTAAGCAGTACAAGGAAGGAAGGGGCTTGGAGGCAAGTCTTCAGAGGAGAGCTAGGTCCCTCAAGAAGCAGACTGTAAACCCCAGGCTCTTCGCCAGAAGTACGGCGCAGAGACTCTCCTTGCCATGCTCTCAGGTAGCGCACAGTGCTTGCTGCTCTTCCCCTTGCTGCTGGGCAGGGATGGAGGACGGGCAGGCTTGCTCGAAACCCTCACAGAGCGTTACAGCCAACGACTGCAAAAGCAGCAATGCCAAAGTGCGTTTTGGAGCTGTGCAGCCCCATGGCTTTTCCCTTCCTATACTCTAGAAAGAGAGAGAGCAGGGGAGGTCCGGGCAGTCAATCAATGCTACGGATCTGAAATAGTCCTCTTGAGTCACCCAATCGAACTTGGACTAACAAAGCCGGGAGATCCCAGCAGCACAAATCTTCTGTCTGTCACCGAGCAGCACACCCAGGGAGAAGGAAGGGCAGGCTCTGCCTTGTTCCCAAGCACTCTCCAAGAGGAGAATTATCCAGCTCTCTCCACTGACCTTACTGGACAGGACAGGGGAAAGAGGCCACGCATGAAGGGCTGCTGTCCACAGAGGGCAGGTGAGCAGAGACCTGCCAGCTCCCAGCTCTGGAACTGCAGACACAGTTTGAACTACAGTCCAGGGGACACCAGGCAACTACAGGCATCATTTCCTCTCCCCACCTCCCTCCTTTCCTCTCCACCCCCTTCAAGCTTTTCGCATCATCCCATCACCCCTGGAATATAGGTGACACACCAACCACAGAGGCCAGAGGAAAGTCTACCTGACTGCCCGTTCTACCTCCCCTTTCCCCCACAACTTCCTGGAGGCCATCTAAAACCGAGGAGAGGGAAGGGGAGGCCAAGGCTCAGGGGCGTCACATGCAAGCTGAAAGCCGCTGAGGGGCTGGAGGCTCACGGCAAGCAGGCAGCCACCTGGTAGGCGCCCTCGGCCGTGTGCTGGACGCTGTGCTCCTGCAGCAGGCCCAAGTCCAGAAACCGTTCGCCACACCACATGCACTTGTACTGCTGCTCCCGGGCGTGCACGCTGTGGTGTTTGTTGAGGTGCTCGCGCTGCTTGAAGGCCTTCTCGCACGAGGGGCACTTGTAGGGTTTCTCGCCCGTGTGCACGCGCCGGTGGCGCTGCAGGTCCGAGGCATACTTGAACCGCTTTTCACAGTCGGGGCACTTGAGGGGCTTCTCACGGGCCGGGTCACAGCGGTGCTGCACAAACTCGGAGGAGGAGAAGAAACGTCTCTCGCAAAGCGTGCACTTGAGCGGCTTCTCGGCACAGTGGGCCAGCTGGTGCTTCTGCAGGGCCGAGGCCCGCTTGTAGGACTTGTTGCACACCGCACACTTGAAGGGCCGCTCTGCGTTCTGCACGCATTTGTGCCGCAGCAGCTCAGAGGACTGGTTGAAGCCCTTCTGGCACACGTTGCACTTGAAGAGGTTTTCTATGCCGTGCACATGCTGGTGGTACACCAAGTGTGAGGGCTGCACAAAGCCCTTCTCGCACAGGTTGCACTTGAAGGGCTCCTCAGCTTTGTGCGTGCGGCGATGGCGCATGAGCGCATACTGCTGCTTGAAGCTCATCTGGCAGAGGTCACACTTGAAGGGCCGCTCCTCGCTGTGCGTGCGCTCGTGCTGCCGCAGGTCCGAGGGGCGCTTGAAGGCCTTCTGACACTCCCCACAGCGGAAGGGCCGTTCCCCGCTAGGCGTGCAGGGGTGCTGCAGCAGCTCCGATGACTCCTTGAAGTGCAGCTCGCAGACGTTGCACTTGAAGAGGTGCTCCCCCGAGTGCGCGTACATGTGGCGCACCAGGTGCGAGCGGTGCTTGAAGGTCTTCTCGCACACCGTGCACTTGTAGGGCCGCTCCGAGCTGTGCGTCCGCTTGTGGTGCACCAGGTGGGATGACTGGCTGAAGCTCTTGTCGCACAGCGTGCACTTGTACGGCTTCTCTCCCGTGTGGATGCGCTCATGGCGGGAGAGCTCCGAGAGGTGCTTGAAGGTCTTCTGACAGATGGAGCAGCTGTAGGGCTTCTCTGAGGGGTCAAGAGGCTGAGAGTGCTCTGCCTCGGGAGGCTTGTAGGTCTTCTCGCAGATAGAGCACTTCATGGCATTGCCATTGTGGACGTTGTGGTGCTGCGCCAGCGAAGTGAGGAGAGAAAAGCCCATCTTGCACACGCCACACACAAAGGGCTTCTGCTCCACCTGGATGCACTGGTGTTCAAGGAGATCAGTGGCCTGGTGGAAGATCTTCAGACACTGGGTGCACTGGAAAGAGCGGTCATGGCCTGGCAAGCACTGATGCTCATGGGGGTTGGACAAGTGAGTGAGGTCATGGCCACACACACCGCATTTGTGGGACGGCTCTCCAGCCTGGATTGGAGCGTGCTGGTGATGCTGCAGATTGGGGTCTGGCTGGAGCAGGATGCCGTAGACAGCACAGCCCAAGGGGTTCTCAGCAGTGCTCGGTGGGATGGAGTGCTCTGGAAGGGTGGCGGCTCCAGTATGGTGCTGCTGTGGCGGCGGCTGCTGCTGTGCTTGCTGCTGTTGCTGCTGCCAGCTTTCTGACATGCTTGGGAAAAAAAAACGAGGTTTTAGCAGTGACAGCTTCAGCTTCTCGGTTGAAAAGGTTCTAGTAAAAATAAAAACAAAAAATATCCAAGATCCTGATTCTCTGCAGCTGATCCTGAAATCGAGGAAAGGAAATCCAGCCTACAGCCAGGATCTTTGGAGGCAAGGAGGAGACAGAGATGCCACAGGTTCTTCCTTAGATCAGCAGAAGTTCTTTGTGGTCTGGGGGGTGTTGGGTTTGCCTTTTTCTTTTTCTTTTTTTTGATAAAAGAAAAGGTAGGCAGAAGCAAGTGTCCTGAAGACAAGAGGAGGCCCTTGTCCGTACTGGCTGTGTCAGGCTCACATCTGGGAAGGGCAAGGGATGCAGTCCAAGGAACAGCTCTCTCTGCAAGGAAGAAGACAGCTCAGGTCAATTCTCAGAGGAAAGCCAGGCAGTTCTCTAGAGCATCCCGTACCCTGTGGCTCACTCTGAAAACTCTCCTGCGCTCCTGCAAAGTCACCACAAAGCCAGCATGCGGGAGCTAACCGGAACTGAAGCACCCCATGCTGCTGTCAGAAAAACCTGGGAAAAGGTGTGCCCGGCAGCAGAAAGGGACAGAAGGCTCCCCAAGCTCCTGGTCAGGCCTGGAGTACAGATAACCAACCGTACATGGTTACCCTGTAGCTGCTGGCCACCAGTCCTTCAGCCCCGCTTGGGGCACAGGCTGAGAATTGTCAACAGATCCTCCCTGAGCGCTCAGAGAGGCACAGAGCAGACTTATTTAAGTAAGATCCACTTCTCGGTCAAGAAGCATTTCTATCAGAGCAGCCTGGATCAGGCATAGTGGCGGGAGCGTACTAGTTACAAGACGCACTCAGCCTTTTAGATTCTTTCACATAAGCCTTTTCTGAAAAGCATGCAAGGTATGGTCTAACCAAAAGGCTTCTCTCCAGAAGCTCCTGATCATCTGCCAGAGCAACTTTAACACGATAAACACATTTACTAGTCTGTCTGCAGCATGGGTTAAAGTATGCTAAATGCTGTCTACTCAAAAAACTACTAAGTGAAATTTTACAGAAATCAGGGTAAATTTCAACCTGATCTGACCACATCTCAAACACCCTGGTGAAGTCCCAAACCTTTTTCTGAAGCTCCAGGACCGGGCACATTAACAATTTACAGCATCAGAGAAGGAAGGGAGGTACTTAGGAGATTTCCCCCTCTCCCCATAGCATTTGCAGACTAGGGAGAGCCAGAGAGCTCTGAGAAAGTTTTGCCCTTTGGGGCTGCTCTGGACATTATCCTATTTGCTGACTAAACGCAGCACCCGCAGGTATCGTGCACAGCACTCTGAGTGAAGATAAAAGAAGCGTTAATGCAACTGTGTGGCTGAACACCACACTGTGCAACAAAAATACACTGAAGCCTAAGTACTTGCACAAGACATCCTCCTTGGACTTGCTAAGATGCATCACAGGGTTTCTGGTCATAAAAAAAAGTTTCAGTCCTTCTAGAGCATAAACGTAGACGTTCAGTAAAACCTGAGCTCAACTTAGAAAGGAGTTAAATCCACTGCTGAGCAGCAGATATGAACACCACCAGCACACCCCAAGAGAAAGGAAGGGTCCAGGCCTTGGCAACTAGTCTTCCTGGGCCACAGGCCCCCACCCACACTGATGAGCATACCTATTTCTGTGTAAAACAACATGCCCGAGTTCAGCCTCAGTCGTCATCTTGGTCAGGAAGGTGTTTATTTTATTTTGAACTAATCAATAACGAATGTTAGAAAAAACCCACTTCCAAACAGCCCCATCTACTCCAGCACACAGCCGAGACCAGACTACACCTCACGGTTTGGGAAGCAGTAGAACATGCTTCTGCCTAGGCAGACACTGTATTACTTTGTCCTTCCGCACAATTTGGGGCAGTAAAACACCCCGAGGCACCGTCACAGCCCTGCCAGGATACAGTTCCCCACCAGGATCTCTAATTTCGTTCCTACATAGCTCATCTCGACTGTTGACACGAAGCGAGCGTCTGCCATTATGATAGCTAGAACACGAGCTATCGATACGACCTACAACTTTGCGTCCTAGAGCGCAGGCCGGTCGCTAACTTCCCCCGCAGGCTGCGCTAGCCGCGACACTAGCAACGCAGCGGGAGCAGAAACCGCACCCCAGACCGTCTGGGCTGGCGGCCTAACGCGGCTGAGAAGCGTGCACAACCCCAGAACGGAAGGATAAGAAATACCAACCTGGCTTACCGAGCGCTCTACATAAATAATTGAGCTAGCGCCAACTCTGAGTCTAACTCATCCCTCCGTGGGAGGTACAAAGCGACAACCATTTAAGGAGAGAACGGCGGAGCGAAGAGGTACTTTCAAACGGGAGAGACGGGCCGCGAGGCAGCCCCCGGGCACGGGCCGCTCCGACCC